GCTCCCAGGACGCCTGGGCCCTTTTCCGGGCTGCAAAAGGGGGGGTCCAGATGCCTCCCCCTTGCCCTAGACTCCAAACTGGGGTGGGGGGGACTAGGATGGGACCCAGGTGTCCGGACCACCCCCCCTCCGCCAAATTCCCCCCCTTCCCAAATCCCCCCTCTTCCCGCCCCGTCTCCTGACGTTCCGCCAAGTGCCTTACCCGGCCCCGCGGGCTCCCTTCGCGTCTCCAGCACCCCCGGCCGAGCGCCCCCCGCGGCCCCCCGGGGAGGGGACAGGACCCCCCCTCTGATGCCACCTCCCCCCCGAATCCCACCCGGACGCCTGGGTCCCCCCCACCTTGCTTTCCCTTTGAGGGGGGGGATGGAGCTGCATGGGCACCTCCCCCCCCCCAGATCGCTCCCTTTTCTGGGCTCCCACATGTCACGAGTTGCATCAGTCTCAGCCCCGGCGGGGGGGGCAGGGGGGGCCTGGGTGCCCCCCCTGCCTTGCGGGTGCTTGGAAATCTTCCCTCCCCCCCCGCTCCCTCCCTCACCTTTTCTTTTTTACCCTTTTTTCCTCTTTTTCAACCCAAAAACTACAAAAAAGGGAACCGCGCGGCGTTTCGCGGCCATCTGGGCAGCATGGACCCCCCTGCCCCCCCCCCCCCCCCCCCCCCCCCCCAGAAAGGGGACCCCTAGGGAAGGGGACACCCCCCCGTGCCCCCCCAGGGACACCAGTGTTTGTCCTGTGTTATAAAGTGCCAAGACGCCCGTTTTTCGTGACCCTCTTCCTTGCCCCCTGCCCCGAAACGCTGGAGAATTGCACATGAACTGCTGTAAAGATGAACAGAACCGAGAAAGGAGAAAAAATGCAGAAATGTTAATAATGAGTAAATAAAAACACAGAGGTTTGTAACAACCCCCCGTGGGTCCTGCGTCACCCCCCGCCCCGACGGTGCCCCCCCAGGCCCCTGTCCGCAGGGTGCTCAACCCCATAGTAGCCCCTGGAGAATCCCCAGCACAGGGGGCTCTTGCTCAGCAAGGGGCTCCGTGTGTCCGAGTCCCCTGCCGGTGTCCCCAGGAGGTGTTTGCTGTCCCCTGCATTGCTCGGTGTCCCCAGCAATCCCCAGTGTCCCCTGCAGTGTCCGGTGTCCCCAGGGTGTCCCCATGTGGCGCCTGGTGTCCCCTGCTGTCCCCTSCWGTCCCCGGTGTCCCCAGCTCTGTGCAGCGTCCCCAGGAGCTGTCCCATGTCCCCGTGCACGGCCTGTTTGCCCCAGCAGTGCCCAGTGTCCCCTGCAGTCCCTGGTGTCCCATCCCCTGTCCCCAGTGCTGTCCAGTGTCCCTGCAGTGTCTGGTGTCCCCGTCAGTTCCTGGTGTCCCTTGCAGTGTCCGGTGTCCCTACAGTGTCGTGTCTGTTGTCCTGACAATGTCCCCTGCAATCGCAGGTGTCCCCTGCAATCCCCGGTGTCCCCATCCATCCCAGGTGTCCCCTTCAATCCCCGGTGTCCCCATCACTGCCCAGTGTCCCTGTCAGTGTCCGGTGTCCCCATCACTGCTCAGTGTCCCCTGCAATCCCCTGTGTCCCCATCAATTCCTGGTGTCCCCATCCATCCCAGGTGTCCCCTGCAATCCCCGGTGTCCCCATCACTGCCCAGTGTCCCCTGCAATCCCCTGTGTCCCCATCAATTCCTGGTGTCCCCATCACTGCCCAGTGTCCCTATCAGTGTCCGGTGTCCCCATCACTACCCGGTGTCCCCATCATTGCCCGGTGCCCCCTG